TGGTCAACCACATGTTACAATTAAATCTTAAAAAATGATCTCTAAATAATACCTGAAATTATAGTCAACATATTGTATTTATTATTTTTATTTTGTATCAATTATTTGAAAAATTTCTAATTCATCAAATCTACTTTCTACTATATTGATGTTATTATAAGTCTTTGGTGTACCACCAAAACTACCCTTCCTACTAAACCAAACATCACAGCCATTACCAAAATGAGGTAAATTATTAGGATGACAAAAAACTGCATGCCTATAATCATTATTAATAATATAACTAAATTGTGCTGTATTAATATCATTTCTATTACTAATATTAAAAATAAAACTTTCAGTTGTATTCTTGTATTTATTATTCATGTTTACATTCCAATTAAGTGGGTTATAACCACCAACTATTTGCTCTGAATTTTGCATTTTACCAACTACAAGGGTTTTGTTGATATTGTCACATTTTTGATGGAATGCAGTTAAATTTAAGCCATCTCTGTTACTTTGATATAGAAGTTTGAATTCATATTTGACCCTCCTGAATGAAGTGTATGGTGGATTTTTTTTATCAATCCAACTTGCAAAAAGCAAAATGAGATTTTGATTGATTGTCAATGATTCAAGTTTTGAATACAATAATTCAAATTTTGGATTTCTTGATGGTAATAAATTTAATGTTTGTTGTTGTCTGTCTGGAAATACATAATAATGTAAAAGAGGTTTTCGTAAAATCTTAGGAAAAATTGATTGATATGGTTCAATTTTATTAAAAAAATCATCTTTAGAAATATCCTGAAATCTTATCAGAGAAAGAAAATCTTTTAATGTGTTGCCTAAATCATCAAAATTTTTTGATGACCAATCTTCAACATTGATGCTATTGATTTCAGGATGTCTTGCTAATCCCCATTGAAGAATATTTTCCCAAATAACTATCTCATTAACAGAAAAATCATCTCTTTTGAGAATTTCCAATAAAATTGCTTTTTCCAATGATTTAAATTCATTTGATTCAAATAATTTTTCACTATATTCACAAAATTTTTCCAAATAGATATTTTTCAATTCCTTAAAATTTTCATTAGCATAGATCAATTGTAGAATTTTAATTGGATTTTCTTCTATACAATCTTCAAAATTTTCAACAAAATATTTCATAATATATTCATAAAATAACTTAATACCAAGTTCATCTGCTGCAGTTAATAGTTCTAATACTTCAGCTCCAGAATAATTTCCAAATTCTTTTTTGAATTTTACATTGTTTTTAAATCCTTATTATAACAAATAATACAAAGAAAATCATCATTATAAATAATAATAAATAAAATATGACAATGCAGCTTTAATTGTTTGAAAATTGGGGCTGTTTAAACATTGCTTTTCATTATAATGAAATAAATTATATAAAAAAAATAAATAAATTAAAAATTCTCCTCGGCAGATTGACTGACATAATAACATTTTAAGAACTTTGGCGCTCCGCAAAAAATTTTTTTATGCCGATTCAATAGCACAAATAATATTATTTGTTTATTGACAACTTTCATTTAACTTGGATCTTTGATAATAATTTAAATTGACAATTTGTTAATATTGTTAAAGATTTTAATGGAAAAATAAACACAAAACACAATAGCTCAAAAGTGAGAGGAGACTACTTTATGTGTTTGGAAATAGTGAGGGTTCCTTCTTTTCAAATTATCGTTGGATTACCTTCAAAACATCAGGCATACATAAATCCTTTTAAAGATTCATTCAATTCATTATTTTGTTAATTAAGCTATGGCAAATCCCGAGAATACATCTTTTTGGGATAAAACTATTGATTGGTTGTTGATTTAAAGACGTAAAAGTTCAACAAGACATAAGTCATTCTTTTTATACAAAATTATTGTTCTATAGAGAGATTATCGAAAGAAAAATGTTAATAGAGAACTGCAACGAAACTATGATGTAAGGACGAATTTTTATTTGTCAAATCAAACGATAATTTTGGTAATTTTATTTATATTCAACCATATAATTTATTTATTATTTTGATTACGAGTACCAATTTGGACGGTGATTTTTATGCACTTAAATGAATTAGGTTTGTGGCTTTATATAATCTAATTTTGCTGAATATTGTATTCTTTTATTTATAAATTTAAATATTCTATCATTATATCTATTGTTATTCGCGCCATCAAATTAAAATACAATGAAAATAAAAAAGTTAATTACCAATATTTGTTATTATAATAATCATTAGTCCAGTTTTGTTGGCCACGAAGCAACTATTTCTCGCAAGTTTATATAAACTTGCGCCAGATTGTTAACCTTCATGAGATTAAGTGCATCAAGTACTATACCAGCAATATTATTGATTAGTTATTTATAATTTTATAATAAAGATATTAAAATATTCAGTTAATTATTGACATATTACACTAACCATATTTAGTATTTATTAATGTTAAATGTGTCGGACCAGAAATTGAATTTCCTAAAAGGTTTAAAATTGTTTATTGATAAAATTACCAAAGTAATTCGAAAAAGTGGAGGTAATAAGATTCTATGACGCTCCCAAAATGATTTTAATGAAAGGATTGCAACCATATAAAGAAATTTTTAAAACAAATTTATATCATGAAATCATTCAATATTATCCAGAGTTGGTAGTGGTTGAGGCTTATGTATTTTGATCTGGTCTATTGTCATTAATAAAATGCTAATATGATACGCCAATAGATCTAATGGACTGGTCAATTGTCAATCCTGATATTATCAATCCAGTATATATATAGAAACCGAAGTATATAGTCTAAGAACAGGAGCTGGGAGACACAATCAAAGCTCCTTATTTCTTGCTGATTAGATGAAAATGATAATACATATGATCCAAATAATATATCTCAGATACAAACTGGTGCTTTGCAGATCTACAATAGAGCCAGATAGAGTTTTGATAAACGGATATCCTCTTAAAATTCCTGGATGGGGTATCTGAATTGCTATGATTTAAACAGATATGATATCTGGATTGCTATAATTTAAAAGATAATAATAATAAGTATTTAGATATTTAAATTAATATCCCAAAGATTATTAGGGACTTTAATTGATGGTTATCTTTGGGAATCCAAGCTCTAATCTACATTAGTTTTTGAGGAAAAATGTAACAATGCTGAATAAACCGTAAACCATCATGAATAAAGCTCCGAACGAGCCTAGCCGAGCCAAGAAATAATAGGCTCAAGTCTGACGCCACATAAATTTTTTTAAGTAACAAATGATTAATTTTATTTATGCACATTACCTAAAAAACAATTTAAGAGCCTATTTTCTTGAACTCAGCTCGAACTTGAAAATTCAAGTTTTAATTCGAGCCTGCTCAACTTAAGGAGTAAAGCGAATAAACCGAACGATTCAAATAGATGAATAAAGCGACGATTCGAATAAACAAATAAAACGAATGATTTGAGAGAATCAAATAATTCGAATAAAATAAAATGAATAATTCAAATAAACGAATAAACGAATAAAATAAACCAATAAAACTAATAATTCGAATTAATTGAGTTGTATTACGAATAGGAACTCTAGCTCATAATAAAGATTTTTTAAACAAGTTGCATTCGTTTTGATTCTCTACAAATATCTGAGCAAACATTGTGAAATTTTATACAGTCGTTTCAATTAAATTCGCGTTACTATGAATTTTTAAAACATAAAATTCATTGAACGTGATTAATAATTTTAGTATAATGCAATTTCTTGTGCATATATTCCAGAACCTAAAAAGCATTGTTCTCATTTGAAATTTTCGGAATTTTTTAGTCTGTCATAAAATTATTTATGATGATTTAAATGTTCTAAACTTATACAAATTATTATAGTTTATTATTACTTCAATTATTTTCAGTGGCCCGCAAAATCGTGATTTTATAAAAAAATAATATTAAATTTCGAGTTGGCTCAAACTCGGCTTTGGATCGGCTCGACTCGAGTTTTCGAGTTCGAGCCAAGTTTGAGCCAGTATTTTTTTATATGCGAGCTGGCTCGAACTCGCATATTTGAGCCCGAGTCGGGCTCGAGTTAAGCATAAACTCGGCTCGGCTCGTTCTGGGCTTTAATTATGGACATTAAAGAAAATGGTGTATTAATTGGTGATTACAATCCAGTACATTGGAATGATGATATTTATTTTTAAGATTGATTATAATGATGGAAATGATGATGATGTTTATGAAAACAAATTAAATATTGGACTTAAACATAGAGTAAGACATTTATTAAAGTAGCTGATTTTTTTTTTTGGTTTAATGGATTTAATTTTTTTTTTTTTTTTAATATAATTATTAATTATTCAATTTCGATCTTGTAAATATTGCTGTAATTAAAGAGATCTTTGTTTATAACGCCTTCCATATTGCAAGCGTGCAACCCGAGTTATTATTATGCATAATTTGGGTTACAATTCTTGACACATGACTTGAGATTTTTTATTTTCAATTGTAACATGGATTGGCCATTCATTTTTCATTTTTATATTTATTGAAAAAATGTATTTGGTATTTGAAAAATATTTTAGTGAAAATGAAAGATTATTAAATACTGAAGATTTTTATGATGTGAAAATATATGTTGGCATAGAACCAAACATTAAAGAG